CGCACAGCGCTGGAACACGCGCGCACAGACACGCACACACGCACGCACACACACTCGCACACACGCAGAGGCACGGGGGGGAAAAGAAGCCGATGAATAATTTTGCTGCTATTTTTTTTTTAAATGCTGGCCGCCATCATCCAGCAGCAGCGAGCAGCGGCGGCGGCGGCAGCAGCAGCGGCAGCAGCAGCGTTGGAGGGTGAGGAGGCAGCGGGACAGGCCCCTCTTAGGAGAGGATTTATATCGAGGTAAGTGTTGGAGATTTAAACCTACCCTTTGCGCCATCAGTCTGCGCTCCAATAAACTCCTGGATGTGTCGTATGTTTAATATCCCAGTCCGGATAAGAAAGTGATCTAGGTTGAAGATTCCTTTTTTTTTTCCAAACCAAGGAGAGTTCACCCAATTCTCCAATATGTTATGTTTAGGGAGAGAGAAAGGAAAAAAAAAAAAAGCCCAGACAAAACAACGAAGAGTTTTGGTATTTTTTTCTGTGATATTTCTTCTTTTTCTCTTTTTTTCTTCTTCTTCCTCCTCCTCCTGATCTTCCTCCTCCTCCTCCACCTCCTCCTCCTCCCCCCTCCCCTCCTCCTCCTCTTCGGTTCTCCTTTCCCCCTCTTTTTCTTCTTTTGCCCTCAGTTGGAGAAAAAAAAAAAGAAGAAAAAGAAGAAAAAAAATTGTCAAGCCCCCGAACTGAAGGTTACGAGCGGCCCGTCAGCAGCCCACATGTAACCGAACTGTCGTGTTTCATGGCTTTTTGCCACTCCAGCTGTCAATCAAAGCCCGGAATGTCAAGGTAGTGAATGAATGATGGTTGATGATGATGAAGAGGAGGAATCTTTCAGACCCGTTTTTTTTCTTCCAGTAAAACTCCGCGAGGGGTTCCTGCTTCTTTAATTTTTCCAATCCCCCTCCCCCCTTTTTTGGCTTTGCCCCGCGGTACCTATAATCTGATCCTCTCTTTCAAAAGTATTGTTCAAAGAAAGCAGGGGGGGGGAATCAAGAAAAAAAATGAATAGTTTGCAAAAATTGGACTTCCTCCCCCCCTTTCCTGGTAGGTATTTTGTCTCTCCCTCGCTCTCTTGCTCGCTCGCTCTCGCTCGCTCACTCGCGCTCGCTCTCTCGCGCTCGCTCTCTCGCGCTCGCTCTCTTTCTCTCGCTGGGAGATGAGTGAGTGTCAGTAGGTGTTGGCAGGTTGGCTGCTGCCTGGCTTATAGAAGAGCCTCAGTTTGGCGGCGCGGGTCGGCGGCGGGAGAACGAAATGACGGAACCCGGAAGTCGTGGTGGCCATAGCCCCGCGGCGGCCCGGCCCCAGGGGGCGGCGCGGCAAACTCTCAGCGGGTTGTGCTCAGCAGACTAGGTGGGGAGCCGGCGTGCAGCTGCAGGGAGGTAGAGAGCAGGAGGAAGAGATAGGGAGGGGGAGAGAGAGGAAGGGAAACACTGGATATAAACAAAAAAGGAGGAGTGGGCCTTGGGGCGGGAGCGAGGGGAGGGTTACTTCTGTCCTTTAAAGGTAGTCACCGGAGGCAGCGCCGCGAGTGAACTGTACACGGAAGCCCACGGGAGGGACTCTACCTCTGAGTGCACGCTGCTCCAGAAATAGGATCACAAACCAAACTTTCACAAAGCCCCACTGGCCAAGCAGCTCCCCTTGGAGGGAGGGGAACCGAGGATTCCTGTCCACATTCTGCCAGGCCATCCCAGATACAGGGTTGAGGGGAAATCTGTGAGACTTTTCAGCTTAATCTCTTCTTCTAAGAATGACGCTTTTAAGAATATGGCTTGGGGCGCAGGTACTCTCAGGGAGAAAGCAAGGTTCCTGGAGGCTACTTCCAAAACGCCAGGACACCAGACTTGGGGCCTGCACGAGCGCTCTAGGAAACCGGACTGAGCCCGCTCCTCAGCCTGCCCATGCTTGCCCATGCCCATGCCCATGCCGTAGCCCATCCACAGAGCAGAGTGAAGTTAAGGCAGGGATGAGCACCCACAAGGAAATATACCCAGAGGAGCCTCAGGGATTCAAGTACACCCCTGCCCAACACCAACTTCCCGGAGGCTGGTTAAATCTGCTTCAGCTTACACCTGGCCAGGGCCAGTTCACAAAAATGACAGTGTCATAAAGCCTGGAGAGGCAGAGTCAGCCTCGGTAGTAGTCTTAGATGTGCTTAACCCCAACCCTCCAGAGTAAGGTATTGCCCTGAAGGTTTGGAGCACTTTCTGGGGGTGTCTGTTGAGACTGAGTGTCTAGAGCAGAAACGCCTTGCCTCCTCAGCCCAGGGTGGAAGCTTGCCCTCCAGCGCCAGCCTGGCATAAGCAAGCCAAGAACAGGGAGCTTTCCAGCAGTCAGCCGCAGCATCAGTCCTCAGGGGGAACAAAAGGCAAACAAAACAAAGCACCCCTTCAAGGCTACAGTCTGATTAATGTACTCTTCTTTGACCCTCTCTCTGAGTGCAGTTTCTGGATGGGAGCCTGTGCCAAACTTTTGTGCCAACATGAAGGCCAGGGCAACCGATCAGAAGCAGCCTACGACTGAGGAAAAGTCCTTCAAACCCTAAGAACTCACTCCAAGAAAATATGCCCCTGCAGTTCAGCGAGACTTGAAGTGTGACTGCCCTGAATGTGACATGTGTGGAGGACACTCCATGAGGGAAGTCTTGCTCAGGGATGGAGATATGGAGATAGTGCTCCCAAAAGCAAAGCCATACCCCAGACACATAAACGTCGCCTGTAACACCACCGGTGGTGCTGCTGGCTCCGCTCCAAATCCAGCCTCTGGCACCCTCCAGGGTGGTTAGCTATCACTCTATTTTAGCGCCCGGAAGTGGCCTGGAAGGAGAAACTCATTCTCATCAAGTGTAGACCTGGCCAGGAGCAGAGCACCGCTTCCGGCCCTGGGGATGCAGACAGCTGGGCTGTGCTGGCCCAGGGCTCCCTAGAGCTGTTCACTGCGTTGGATGTCCTCTAAGGAACTTCTCAGTTCACGAGGACAGCCTGCGGGGAGTGTAAGGAAGTAGGAGACCCAGGCCGACAGGGAGATGGGACACAGAGATCACGGAAGCCCACAGCTGTGAGATAGGGACCCGATTCGGTGGGTATTCTGGGGAAAGGGAGGCTCACTAAGGAAAGCAGCTCCTTTTCAGCGTATTGGGAATTTAAATGTATGCCTCTTAATAGGAAGAAAAGCCACCAGCTCTGTCTTCCCACGCACATTCTTCCAGCCACTTTCCCACCCACGATAAATGCTAGGCCTAAAATCCCTGGGAGATTTAATTGAAGCCTTGGGCACAGCAGTGTTGAGAATGAGCATTTACATTTCACCTGGCCTGAGGGAAATCTCCAAACAAAATCTAAAATGGTCTCTCTGGCCGGGAGCAGATCCCTGGGTCACCTCAAATCCCTGATGCTGATCTCAATCCCTTCCACCCGTCATGCCCTTCTTTCCCAGGACCCATCCCCTCTTTATCCCCTGAAAGGCCAATTCAAAACACACACTCTGTGCCCCAGCTGGGTCTGTGCCCTCGTTGACTCCAGACTATCAAGTAAGATTTATCATAAGGACAGTCCCTTGAGAAGAGAAGCAAGCCATTATGACTGCGAAGACCAAATTTTTGGAGGTAAAAAACTTGTTTCTCCTTTCGATTCTCTACAGTGGCCTGTCTTTTGAATTGGAGGGATGATAGATAGATAGACAGACACAGCAGACAGACAGATAGATAGATAGATGCAAACCAAACAACCAAACTCACTGCCACTGAGTCAATTATGACTTACAGCGACCCTGTAGGGCAGCTGCCCCAGTGGGTTTCTCAGACGCCAACTCTTTATGGAAGTAGAAGTAGTCATCTTTCTTCCATGGAGCAGGTGGGGGTTCCAAATGCTGACCTTGCCATTAACAGCCCAACCTGTGTCCGCTACAGCACCCAGGTGACCCTATACAGACAGGAGCGCTTCAGTCGACGGACGCCTGGCAACTCCAGGTACAACTGCACAAAGTGTCACCTGTGGAGCGGGCTATCGTGACCGCGAACACATTCTATCTAGCCCATCGTTTCAAGTATATATACCAGGGAAACTGATTTTGAACAGGCTTCCATACCTCATCTTTGATCTTTCCAGTACTATTCAGACTGGGGACAACAGATGCTATCACTTCATTTCTTTGTTTGATGGAAGTGAGAGAGATGCAGTGATATGGCCAACATAATGGAACTCACTTGAAGCCAGTCCCAAAGCAAATCAAACTCACTGCTTTCTAGATGGTGCTGAACCCATGGCAACCCTATAGGGGAGGGTCGAATTGCCCCAGGTGGGTTTCCGAGACTGTAACTCTTTATGGGAATAGAATGTCTCATCTTTCCCTTGAGAAGTGGCTTGTAGTTTCGAACTGCCCACCTTGAAGTTAGCAGCCCAATGTGTTTAGAGGCCCCGGAATCTCACCAAGTGCAACAGCTCTGGAAAGCAGGTCCCTTGGACCACCGGAATGTTGCCAAGCCTGACTTCAGTTGGGTACACCATGAAATTATACCTAGATAGTCAATCCCAGTCGTTAGTTTACAGGTGGGAAATAGAAGCTGGACTTTGAAAAGCAATTTTTAAAGCAGTTGATATCAGGGATCAAGACCACAGAGGTTCCATGACCCCCACCCCTTCTCAGCCATATTTTCTCCAAACCCCTACCTTTCCCTTTCTCACTCATAGTTGGCTCCCATGGATTCCACTGTGCTCTG